TGTTTGTTTGTTTTTTGAGACTGGGTTTCTCTGTGTAACAGGCCTGGCTGACTTGGAACTCACTTTGTAGACCAGGCTGGCCTCAAACTCACAGAGATCTGCCTGCCTCTGCCTCCCAAGTACTGGGATTAAAGGCTTGTCCCACCACCACCTGGCTGGGTTTTTTTGTTTGTTTGTTTGTTTGGTTGGTTTTTGTTTTTTTAGGCAGGGTCTATGTAGCTCTGATTGTCCTAGAACTCTCTATGTAGACCTGCCTCACAGGGATCTGCCTGCTTCTGCCCCTGAGTTTTGGGCTTAAAGGCATTCACTACTATGCCCAGTTTTGAATTTAAAAAAATAATAGGGCTGGGAAGATGGCTCTGTGGAGAAAGCAGTTACTGTGTAAGCATGAGAACCATAGTTCAGATTCCCGGGACCCATGTCAAGAGCTGGGCAGGCACAGTGGTCCATCTGTGATTCTATCTGAGAAGACATCCCACATTGTGATGCCCTCTCCAGAGCAAGCTGACTACTTAGACTAGCCAAAATTGGCAAGCTCTGGGTTAAGTCAGAGTCCCTGCCTTGGTAAATAAAGTAGAGAACAATCAGATACTCAATATCAATCTCTGGACTCCACACATGTATACATGTGCATGTTCACTTCCCATGTATACACCCACGCACATGTAAAAAGACATACACACATGTACACCACATACACATATGCAAAATATTTTTTAAAAACTATCAGACAAAGTGTCAGGAATATACCTTACTCATGGGTAGGAAGATCACAGGTTAGAGGTCACCCTGGGCTACACAGTGAAACTCTATCTCAAAAACAAACAAACAAACAAACAAACAAACAAAACCACAAACCAATAAAAAGCCCAAATAACAAAACCCCAACATTCAATCAATGTAATCTACCATATCCATCAAGCTAATGAAGAAAAATGTATCATATAGGTAACAAAATTCAGCATTCATTTATGGTAAAAAAAAAAAAACTTTTCAGCAAACTATGAATAGATGGGTATGTCCGGAACTTGATAAAGAACATCTCCCAAAACTTTGGTAGTAACACATTTACTTGTGAAAGATGTAATGTTTCTCCCTAAGATCTATCCCAACAAAGGTTGTCTACTCTTATCACTTTCATTCAACATAATTCAAATGCTGCCTTCAGTGAAATCAGGCTAGAAAAGGAATAAAAATCATATGATTGGAAAGGAGTTAAAACCATCTCCACTTCTAAACAACACAAGTTTCTTTCTTTCTTTTAAATTACATTTATTCATTTCCAGCCATCAGGCTTGGTAGCAAGTGCCTTTATTCACCGAGCCATCTTACAAGCCCAATAACATAATTTGTTACATAGAAATTTCCAAAGTACCTGCCAAAAGACTCATAAAACCAATAATTGGGTTCAGTATGTCACAAGATATTAAGATCAACACACAAACATCAATTGCATTTCTCTGCTATACTGACATCGAACAATTAAAGTGTGCCTGGAATTTAAAACACATTACCAGTTACAACCATGACAAAGGAAATGAAGTACTTAGGTACACACTTAACATACTGTACACAGGATCTATATGCTATAAAATTCCACAATGCCAATGAAGAAGTCAAAGAAGATTACAACTAAATGGAGAGATGGAAATTATCATGTTAAAGGATTAGAAGAGAATGTTGGGAAGCTGTCAGTTCTTCTCAAACTGATATATAGGTTTGATGCAATTCCTCTAACAATTACATCAAGGTTTTTATAAATACAAATAAATCCATTACAAAATTTACATGAAAAGACAAATTACCAGCCATGTGTGGTGGCACACACCTTTAATCCCAGTACTCGGGAGGCAGAGGCAGGCGGATCTCAGTGAGTTCAAGGCTGGCCTGGTCTACAGAGTGAGTTCCAGGACAGTCAGAGATACATAGTAAGACTTTGTCTTAAAACCCACAAACAAACAAACAAACAAACAAACAAAAAACAACAAAGACAAAATAACTTGGATTGCCAGAACAATTTGGAAGAATAAAGTGAGAGGGATTGCTCTATCCACTTGTTTTATACCTATCACAATTAATACTAGTAGTCACAGGAGAGACACACAGATTAATAGAATACAAAAGAGCCAAGAAATGGCCCCATACAGATGGTCCAATTGATTTTGACAGAGGTATAAAAGCAATTTAATGAAGCAAAGACAGTCATTAGAATCTCTATCTTAGGTCCAAGTTTATAACAAAAATTAATTCAAAGTGAAACACTGACTTAAAACATAAAACTATAACACTTTCTAGAGGAAACATGAGAGAAGGCAAATGGGACCAGGTTTTTTAGACCTGACACCAAAAGCACTATGTATACGTGCAAAACTCGATAAACTGGCTCTCTCTGAAAATAGTTTGTGAAATCTCATTTTAAACAAATGAAAAGATCAGCTGAAGAACGGGAAAACTATTTTCTGATCATATCCATACCTGACAGAGGACTTGTATTGAGAATATATAAATAACTCTCCAAATTTAATAGTAAGAAATAATCCAATTAGAAAATATCTAAAAGACATAAGCAGACACATCACCAAAGAGATGGCAACTAGAGACATGAAGGAAGTTCAGCATCATTGGCCACTAGGGAAAGTCAATTTAAAATGAGCTATCACCACAGAATGGCTAAAACAGAAATAGTGACTATTTCTAAGAAATACTAAGAGCAAAGAAACTGATCTTTTATGTGTGGCAGTTAGGAAAACAAGATGGTACAGCTAGTCTGAAAAAAATGTTTCTTATAACACTAAGCACACACTTAGCTTTTTAGCAGTTTCATAACTGTTTTCACAAAAACCTCTATAAGACTGTTTACAGCACTTTTATTCTTTTTTAAAAAATTTATTACACCTATTTGTGTGTGTGTCCTATGTGTGGAGGTCAGAGGACAGTTTTCAAGACTCAGGGTTTTCTTTCTTTTCAACTTTTCGATACCAGGGATCAAAATAAGGTCATCAGACTTAGTGGCTAGTGCTTTTACCTACTGAGCCATCTCCATGGCCCAGCAGTTTTATTCTTAACAGGCAAAGTTGGAAACAGTCCAAATGTCCTTCAATGGATGAACTGTTAAACTGTGGTATATCCACACTGTAGATTATCACTCAGCAATAAAAACAGTGATAGATGTTAAAGAAATCATTCTGAGTGAAAAAACCTGACATGTTTCAAAATGTATGATTCCATTTATATAATATGCTTGAAATGACAAAATTATAGGGATGGTGTGGTGAACATGTTAGGAGTTGCCAGGAATTATGTTAGGAAAAGGAGGCGACTGATGATGAAGGATTCCAGGGGGATCTTTGAGATAGTTGTGTTGGGCACAGAAATCTACACAGGTGATAAAATTGTGTAGAACTTACATATTCGCATTCAGAAATGGATGCTTGTTAAGTTGATGAAATCTGAATGAGCTTTATGGATTGGACTAGTGTCACTACCTTGCCTTTGATATAGTTATGTAAGATTACTATTGGGAGAAAACTGAGAGGTACTTACAGGGGTTCATGAGACCCCTCTAATATTTTTACATCTTCCTGTGGAGTTTTATTTTAAAATAAATCAAATATAACAGTAAATGTGAAGGACTATGAATATTTTACCACGCATAGATTTACATATAATGAAGTAGAAAGTATGAAAAATAGACAAAATACAAGAGTCCACATTAATGTTATCCTAGAAATATAAGTGAAAATGATTACATGAGTTTATTATAATTGTGAATGATGTATTTTCAATTCTAGAAAGGTAAATAAAAAGTTGCTTGCAAACTTCTGTATTTGTCAGAATTCAAAGGGCCGGAACCATTAGCAAATTATATTCACTTATTTTATATATTAATAATATACATCATTTCCCACTTATTCATTCAAAGCTACTATCTTCTATAATTGTGATATTGGTTAAACAAAATAAAAGCTGCAAGGCAGGCGATCAGGAACCAGGGGCATAGACCAAAGCAAGTATCTATGGGTGAAGTTTTTAAACTCTCCATCCAATCCTCTCTCTCAGGAAAAACTCAGCCCTTGTTTAAAGACTTTTTCAAATAATTCTGACGGGCCACCTACACTATCCAAGAAAATGACCCCTACTTTTAAGTCAATCAGCCTTTATATTACCAAAATACCTCCACAGCAACACCTGTATGAAGGTTTGAATAACTGGGAGCTGTAAGCTAACTGAATAGATATCAGAATACAGAAAAAGAAGCCCCACACCATAAAGCATGTTTGCTTACAACTGGATAAATGTGTTGTCAATTGTCTCCTTGCCTTTATTATTTTTCCATACTTCAAGGAGAAATGACAGAAATCAATGGTGGTCACCGAGTTGATATACAAATTGCACTTGTAGAACTTTAGAGTTGGAGCAGGGGCTTGAAAAGCTCGGTCTGGATTGTGATAGAGCAGGAGCCAGTGCACCTCGCCCTTTCTAGCTCCTAGCGAGGCTGGGACTCCTCAGGGCAGCAGCGCGCGCAGCAGGAGGGGAGGAGAACCCACCTGAAGCATTGCGCCGCGCGTGCGGGAGCCCGAAGTGGGCGGAGCCTCGAAGCCGGTGGCGTTGGCGACGGCGCCCAGCCCGCCAGAAGAGCGCGCGGCGAGCAGACGGCGGGGAGTCGGTCGGGTAGGGCGAGCGCAGCCGGCGGGGGGGGGGGGGGGGGGGTAGGGGTGGGGGGTGGGGGTGGGGGGGAGTGGCGGTGGTGAGGAAGGAAAGGGAAGAGGCGGAGCGTGGGAGCGCACAGTGTCAGGAATACAATAGTGCTCGGCGCCTCCTCGGCCGCCGCCGCCCAGCAGCTTGCCCAGGGCTGAGGCCTGACAGGCCAGGCGGCCAGGGCGGAGGGCGGGAGCAGAGCGCTAGGGGGCGGCCCCCGTGGCTCCTCGGGAGGCCCGGGGCGGGAGGGCGGGGCGAGGAGGAGATTAGGGGGCAGGTGCGAGGGAGGGAAGAGAAGAAAGCGGGCGGCTAGGGGGCGGTTACCACCCTAGCTGGACTCGCCCGGCACGTTGAGGGGGCCCCAGTGTGCGGCAGGAAAGGAGCGGAGCCTGAAGCAGCGCCGAAGGTAGGCGCTCTCGAGGGTAGCTGCAGTAGCAGCAGCGAGGTTGTGGGCGTAGTGCGGCTTTGGCGGCGGGAGTGGCGGCCTCGAGAAGTGGGACGAGGGCGGCGTGGAGCTAGGGGTCCCGGCCTCGCCGCGCTCAGGGGAGCTCCAGCTCCACGAAACGGTTGCCTCCGGTGTCCCCCGAGAGCTCTGGAGCCGGGAGTGTGTGTGGGCTGAGGTAAAGTGCCCAGTCGCCCCTCTGCTGGTGGCGCGCTCTGCCTGGTGGCCCGAGCTGGGGGCTGGTGGGGGGGGGGAGCGGACACGGACACGCGAGCTCGGCTGCAGCCTTCGGGAAACCTCAGGAGGCATTGAGCGCCATAACTGTGGCGGCCGTTCCCTTCACAGCCCCCCCCCTCCCGGCGCCCCTTCCCGTGCCTGTTCCGTGCTATCAGGGACTCGTGGGGGCCAGACCTCTGGGCTAGAGGGCATGCTCTTTCTACAGCCTGTGGCTGGCTGGTCCTAGCAGCGAGAGGGCGCACCCTGGCTGTTTGAGCCTTGCGGAGCGGGAAGACACCGAGTGTCTGGAGAGGGGAAGACCGGCAGTGTAGGGAGCAACCAGGCACCCCGAGAGGCGAAATGCCAACCTAGCGGGAGCGCGGGCGCTCTGCCGGCCAGTGAACTTTCCTTTCTCCAGTCATTGTTAGGTCGCTGCGAGTGTTCGCAGCCGCCAAGCGCCCTGCGGTCCTGGGGGTGGGAAAATGGCCAGGGCTTTGCCAATTACGGGGAGATTTTTCTGCCACCGGGCATGGCACAGTTGTTAACTTTTCTCCAGCTCTCTAGTTCGTTTTATTACCTCCTCTGAGGGGGCCACATTTATTTGTTTAATCCTCCAATCTTTTTCTCCTGCATTTTGGAGCAGAACCTTGGCTTTGGTGGAGTCTGGCTTTAAATTACACAGGGCAACCTGTGTTCATTATTTGTCAGGAAGAAAGTGGGGTGGGATGTCGAGTGTCCTTAATGGTGATATGTGAAGACATGCTTAAGAGTTTATCTCTGTGCAGCCCTAGGACATAGGTCGCTTGTAGGGATTTGGCAAGAAACTTGTTTGGCTGCTCCATTGGCGTTCTGAGTTGCAAGGAAATCCATGTTCTGAGATGTGTGCAAGGGTCGACCCCCACCCACCTTGTGAGATACACTCATCTCTGAAGCTGAGGACGAGACCCCCACCCTCTCCCCTCCTCAGTTTGATTGTATAAGAAATCAAAACCATGGTGACAGTGTCATAGAGGGAAAGGCGACCTCATTCCCTGCATTGAGTCAGATAAAGATAACTGCTACTCTCCCAACTCTGAAAAATAATGAAAAAAAAAAAAAGGTAAAAACTGGTTGCACAACATCGTTGCCTAGTTCATGATAACCAGAATCCACTTTTCCAGACTACTTCTTAAATACCTTGTCTGCAGCCACTTCTTGTCAGCCTGGGGGTTGGAGAATGGGGGTGGGGAGAAGAGCAGAGTCCACTTGAAACAAAGCATTGTGTTTTATTTAGTTTAGTATTTCTGGAACATCTGTAATGGTGGGAACATAGAGCCTGACCTTTGTACCCTTTGAATAGTGTAGTTCTTACACATTATATGATGACTCTGGATAAATAAAAATAGATTTTTTTTCTTTTTTGTTTAACCTTAAGAGTATCCTACTTCGATAATTATCATTTTCTTTTTTATTTAAGGTGAGTTCTGAGTTTAAATGCTTGAATTATTAGAGGATAAACTCTCACTTCAAGGATTACAGAAGTTGGAAGGTGCTATTCATATTAAGTTGGGGAGTGCCCAGTTCATATTAAGTTCTCAACATCAGGTACCATCATTGCCACCTTTCTTTCATTTGTGCTCTTTTGTATACTTCTGTCACTAGAGAAGAGCTCTTATTCCAATACTGTTGCCTTGAAAGATTTTTTTAGCCAGTTAGTTCGGAATAATACAGGTTACAGTGTTCTAATTCCAGAACCCACACTTTATTTCCAATTTTCTGAATCAGACCATGGCATTGTGGTGTGACTCTTGATCTCAGGCAGTTCAAAGTGACGGAGCCAGGAATGACTTGGAAACAACTTTCAGGGCACTTGTGAGCTACTTTCCGACTTGTAGAGGAGGGCCCCAGGACTATCACAGCTGATGATTCCCAGGCAGTTATCACCGAGACATATGAGTTAGTGAAAGCTAAAGTACAAGAATGTTCGAAAACTTACAGGTTTAGTATGGTCATCTACTTTAATAATGCTTGTCTTTTCCCCCTCTTGTGTTCTACCAACCATAACAAATGTTTGTCCTCTAAGCTATACAAAGCTGTCTCTTGTTTATTTACTTTGAGGTCTAGCTGAAACTAATCACATATTTTGGGGGTGGTGAGGAAATCAGGAGACATCAGGTGTTTGTGGAGACGGGACATTAGAGAGCTCTTAGAGGCTTTGATCAGGGATGCAAAGAGGGAGGCTAAAATGAAGTTGAATATTATAATGGAACATAATGTACCTACCTCTTCATGGAGCTTACAAAAAATAGGAACTGAAGAAGATAGAATTGATATGCTGACTTATATTAAGATAATCTCTCATCAGGGGATAATTTACTGTGATCTTTGCTTGCCTCACTTTTCTAGATGAGAGGTGGGTGTTGGGTGATACTCATCTGGCACTATCCTAGTCATAATTTTTGGTGTTGAAAATTGAACCTAGGGCTGGAGAGATGGCTCAGAGATGGCTCTGACTGCTCTTCCAGAGGTCCTGAGTTCAATTCCCAGCAACCACAAGGTGGCTCACAACCATCTATAATGAGATCTGGTGCCCTCTTCTGACCTGCAGTCATACATGCTGTATACTAAATAAATAAATCTTTAAAAAAAAAAAAAAAGAAAAGAAAATTGAACCTAGAGCCTTGCACATGCTAAGCAAGCATTCTACCACTGAGCTACCTACCACTTACTCTGATACCCTTATAAAGTGGGGACATTTGGCTCATCCATAAATTTGTATTCTAGTTACTGTGGCTGAGAAAGATAAAGCATTCTCAACTTTATAAAGGTTTCCAGGGTGGGGAGAATCTAGGATGGATGATTAGATGTGATGATTGAGTAAGAGGGTGCTAGCAGATGATCATTATAGACCAAGTAACTACTGCTTTAAGTTTTCTGTTTTTGTAACTCCCCCATGGTTATTTTTGTGTACTCTCTTTAGGTCTTTCCGTAGACAACCGAAGCAAGGCTCCTACAATCAAAAGTGCCTCAGTGCTAAGTCTTCGGGAAAAACTTACCTGATCCAATCTGCCAGACTTGGAAAAGGAAAGGTAAAAACTCAAAGTGCTGTTTTTCTGAACATGAGGGCATGTCCTTGGAGGTACTAGGGGAGGGGGGAGTCTGATATGCCCTGAAGAAAAAGGATCTGCCAAGGGCTTGAAGTTATACTGGGACTTTGGCCAATAGGAGGCATCTATGATATCATGAGTACCCTTCAAGCTACAAATTTGTCTGCTCCAACTCAGAAGCCATGACTATGCCCCACTACCAGTAAAGGTCAATTTCTTCTGATACCTGCTGATAGGAAAAAAAAAATACTAAGCCGGTGTGGGTTTTTTGTTGTTATATTGAGACAGGGTTTACTGTGTAGCCCAGACTGGCCTTTTAACTCATGATCCTCCTGCCTCAGCCTCCTGAGCTCTGGGATTACAAGGTATGGGCTACTATGTTTGGCTAGAATGTTGTTTTGGACTAGCTAACAAGAGAATGTGATGTCAGCTTGGCCTATACACCAAACCCTCGGTGTTGAAATCTCCTGGGAAACTTGCTGGTATTATTCTTTTTTAGCTTTTGAAAACTTAATTTTGATAAAATATATAATTTTTTGAAATGTTGCAAGATTGGTACAAAAACTCACTATATTTCCTTTATCCAAGGTCACTAGTTATCAGCAGTTTGCTTTCATTTGCTCTTTCTGTTTCTTTTTACAAATCATTTGTGCATAACCATTGGGAGAGTGGTACTTGTCAAGGCCATCCTGTCGTGAAGAGTGTCTCAGATGCAACCACTGATATAGCAGAACATTGGTGGTGGGGCAGGGCCCAGAGGTAAAGTCTCCCTGTAGTTACCAGGCATATGTTTGTAAATCAAGTGGAATCTCTGATGCTAGATAGAGAAATCATGACCAATCGTAAAAGTATTTAAGACACCCTCTCCCTTTCACTGTTCTTGTTGTGTATTTTCCTATGTCAAATTTTAATACTATGAAAATCCTCAACTTTATGGCCATTAGTATAGTTTCCATTTAATTCATTCAGCAAACATACTGAGTGCTTTCTATTTGCTAGGGGTATAAAAAGAGAAAGATACTCATCCCCTTAAGAGCTTAATGTCCAGTGGAAAGAATTTGAGGAATCTTTTCAACAGTTAGGAGGAGGAATGTTCTGCTGATGGGAACAGAGGCCTGGTTAAGGATCTGAAGAGTAGATATCTGGGAGTCACTTAACTGGATATAACTGTATATATCCATCTTTAAGGCCTTTTGCTCTTAGGTGACAAAGTTCATGAGTTAGGGAATCCTTTGATGTTATACATCCACCACAGGGAGTGGACTCAGTCATACTTGGACTCATATTCTGGCTCTTCCTCTTGATCTTGGCTAGTTTACTTCTCTGTGCCTTGGTTTCTTCATGTGACAAATCATATCTCTAAAGATGGTAGTGAGAATTTAGTTGAAGTAATATTTGCTCTGTAAACATTTATTTCATATCCCCTTACCAAAAAAAAAATGCTGTATGTTGGGAGTAACATATAAAGTGTTAAGTATTGAGGTAGGAGCCAAGGGGCTATTTGTTTTTTTTTTCAACAGATAAATTTCTGATTGATAGTTCTAGGAAAGACAATGGCGATTACCTTATGGAATAATAAAAATAATAGCAACTGATTTGGTAACAGTTTCCTTTATGTTTAGCACTGGATAGCTCTCTGAGCAGAGGATATCTCTCAGAGGTATGAATCTTAAAATGGTGATGCAGAGCCATTGCACAAGGTCACACGGCAAGGAAGAGATAGAATTAATTCTTCTGTGACTGAAACCAGTGGAGTATGTTTGGAGCCTCGAGAATGAATAATAATAAATAAGGTAAAAGGTAGAGAGAAGAGATTGCCAGGCAGAGGAAAAAGCAGTTGTTGTGACAGTACTGAGGTGGGAGAATGGAATAAAGGATTCATAGAGGTTTGGCTGGATCTGGGAAAAAAGGTAGGCAGAAGATTGACAGGCTTTGTGGAACCTCATTAAGGAGCTTGTGCTTTATTTCAAAGACAGGCAGAGTCTACTTGAAAGTATTTTATTAAACTTCCTAAACCACGCACATGGGTGTGTGTACGTGTGTGTACTTCAGAAAAGTATCCAGTGGCACCTAAAAAAGTGTTAAGTCACTTCTTCAACGTTCTACCTTTATTCCAATAGAGATGCTGTTTCTGTATAAAACCTACACCAAAATGTTGGTAGATGACTTTTACTGTCTTTTGTAAATATTGGTAAGAAGAGTTGCCATGATGCTAAAAGAAGGAACTGCTTAAGAATACTGGTTTAATTAGGTATATATCTCTTGCATTTTAGGCTTCATTAAGGGAAATCAGTTAGCTTTCATTAAGCCCCGTGAAATAGATAAACAATTAGAATTGAGATGAAAAGTAATTTCTGGAATTCTGGATTTAGCATTACAAATAAAACTATGGAGTATAAGGCTTTGGTTTAAATATATCATAATTAAGATACTTCTGTGACTAAATGGAAATTTGTAAATTTTTAATTTTGTGTGTATGCCATCTGTGATGGCACATTTATGAGACTCTGGAAAGACTGAAACATTTTTTCTGTAATATTTTTTCATATTTTCATTCAAGTAGTGGAAGTTTTTATATTTGAAAACGTTTTTATGTACAGCATAAACCTCACAAGACAAAAGCTGTGCTCTTGTCCCCTTGCCATACATATTTGGGTCACAAACATACTCTTAAGTAGCCTGTGCTAGTTAGCTTTTAGGGGTAAGAGAAAGTGCTTAGTTAGTGGCTTGATGATTTAGAGTGGCTTTGCATAGATAGCTGTTGTTTGATAGACTAGTTGTTTAGGTAGGAGGCCCTAAGCTTGGATGGCTCATCACTATGTGGTCTCTTCTAGGTGGCTAGTCTGGACTTATTAACATAGTAATCTCAGAGTCTCCAAAGAGAGAAGCAAGTAAAAGCAAGCACCAGCCAGTACATAAGTACTTTTTTTCAATTGTCTGCTCCTGTCAAATTTGCTATTGTTCCATTGCTAAATCACAAGAATGCTTTCATGATCAAGTCCAGAGACATTGTGGGAGACCATTCAAAGAGTGGATATAAGGAGCTGTGAACAAATTGGGAACCCTTCCAGCAATAATGTATAAATGGTAGTGAATGGAAAGCCAGAGGAAGGCAGTGTGGTTTTGGAAGTAGATATTCTCACAAATGGTTCAACTATTCTTTGATCTTATACAGCTATTATCAAAGGAGCTCCTGTGTTTCCTCAAAACCCATTCATGTTTTAACACAAAATCCTTGTATACATATATATATGTTTTGTAGTTAAGCAAAAAGACTTGGGAATCTACCGCCATTCAATGAGAGGAGCATTGGCAATTTTACCTGTAGCTCCTCCCCTTTTTCAAATATAATTTTTACCTAAGAGAAGAAACACTTATTTGGGCATTGTAATAAGAACAAAGGATTCTTTGTAACTATGTTTTATTTATTCAAATTTTTAAAAATATTCCTGTGGTTGCAGTGAGGAATCCAGTATCATACTGTGAAGTGAGTGGCCAAGATCCACCAGTTTGGTGCATCAGATCTTTGTTCTGGAAGATCTCAAAGGTAACAGTCTTTGCATAACATAGATTTTTTTCAACAGCTTGAAGGCTGAAATTTATTATAATAAAAATGTAATGATTCTTGGAAACGTGGGAAACTGAGTAAAATGTTCATTTTGTGCATCAGAGGGGTGTGTGAAAATTGAGTGATGATATAATCTTAGATTTTCTTATTTCCTCCTAGGATAAAAATTTATAATTTCTGCCGGGCGGTGGTGGCGCACGCCTTTAATCCCAGCACTCGGGAGGCAGAGCCAGGCGGATCTCTGTGAGTTCGAGGCCAGCCTGGACTACCAAGTGAGTTCCAGGAAAGGCACAAAGCTACACAGAGAAACCCTGTCTCGAAAAACCAAAAAAAAAAAAAAATTATAATTTCTGATATTTAAGTCAGTAACTTGAAAAGAGCCATCCATATTTATAAACATAGCATTTGACTTAGCACTTTATCCAAGAATTTATTCAACAAATACTTACAAGTTAATTGGAATATTGCCTATAGTAGAAGATTGATGATATATTGAGTATCAGTCAGGGCTTAGTTATACAAGAGTATTACACTATGTATTGTATAATCTATAATGTATACAGTGAGAAAAATCAGGAACCAGTAGAGCAAGTGTTACCATTTATGTAAAACAGATAGTGAGTTGAGGGCAAGAATATATATATTTTTGCTTATATAGACACAAAATATTTCTGGAGGGCTGTTCAAGCACTGACAGTTTGGTGGCATGCATGATGTGGACTAGTGGTTGAGAGCAAGACTTCATTGCATAGGTTCTAATGTATACATTTTTAATTTTAAGATGTGTTTATTTTCCTATTTCAAAAATTATATGTGTTTTTAAAAAGAGAACTGATACATAGTGATGGAAATTATGGACTCCTCCTCAACTTGACTTGATCAGATCTATTCTTATACATACATACATATATATATATATATATATATATATATACATACATACATATATACACACACACACACACCTATATGTTAGATAGATAGAGAGATGGATATTCAGGTAAGTTTTTTCCCCTTAGAAATGCTTCTTGATATACTTCTGACTTTTTCTTGAAGTACTGGGGATTGAGCCTATCCAGGACTTTTCTTGTACAACATGCATACTATATCACTGAACTATACCTCCAGCTTTGAATTACATGTGTGTAGACTCGAGGACAACTGATGTGGTAAATATTAGCTTATAGGTCTTTGTTTGAGCATAAGTTTTCAGTTCCTTTTGGATAAGTGCATGGAAATGAAATTGCTGATCTTTCTCGGACAGAAGTGGACCAACTGTCCTCCAAAGTGGTTCTGCCAGTTTGTATTCCAGTAAGCCATGAAAGTGAAGTATGTGTTGAAGTTCATTTTCCCACATATGGGATGTTTTATTGTACCATTTGTTGAAAAGTCTATCTTTTATTTATTAAATTGCCTTTGCATCTGTGTATCTGTTTCTGAGCTTCTCTGTTCCATGAATCTGTGTGTCTTAACCATTTTTTCCATTAATTATACTCTTTGCAGTGCTGAAGTGAGGATAGATCTCATGGCTAAAGCATGCTAGGCAAATGCTCTACCACTGAGCCTCATCCTCAGCCATGATATACTGGTTACCACACTTTCCTGAGTACTATAGTTTTATAGTGAGTCTTGAAATAAGTAATATTAGTACTCTGACATTCTTCTTCTTCAGAATTGTAGTGAAAAGGGAACACTTAACTTGTTCTCATCTCTCATCAAGAATAATACTAGCTGTAGAATTTTGGGTTTGTTTTATAGTATATGTCCTTTTGTGTAGAAAGCAATTTACCTAGCAGGTTTGAGGCTGTTGTCTTAGAAGGCTTGCTTGCAAAATTGGCCTTTGACTGATAGATGGAAAATTGACTTCTTAAACATTTAAAAAAATAAAATGTCATACCCTACCTTCATTTATTTCCTCTCCAGTGCTTCTTATTTCTTTTGTTAATCCTAGTTTCCCAACTCCCTTAGATATTTTTCTTTAGGTAGTCAGCATTCCAGCATGGAGGGGGTGGGGCCCATAAGCTTCCACTTCTAGTTGAGGAGCTATTGAGAATGATAGCTGCTAGGAGGAGAATCAGTTTTCTTTAGGAGTATAGTTCCTAATAGATTATCCATGCGTTAGTGGATGGCCCTACACCAATGCATATATGGACAGCACAAATTGGACTTTAAGTTGAGTTAGTTTTTAAAAAGCATATGAAGTTGGGAGAGAGGTGAAGGTAGATCTTGCAGGAGTTAGAGGGAAGAGTAGGTGGTGAATATGATCAAAATACATTGTATGCATGTCTGAAATTCTCTAAGAATTAATAAAAATTGTTACATTAAAATAAAACATAATTTTAATGAAGAAAAGAATTTCCTTTAACATTTTTAGGATAGGTTAGATGGCAGTAAATTCTGTTTTTGTCTAAGAAAGTTTTCATAGTCCAATCACTTTTGAAGGACATTTTGTGTGATATAGAATAATGGTTGGAAGAGATTTTTCCTCTCCTTCAATATGCAATTCCACTATTGCATATCATCTAGTTAAGTCTGGTATAATTATTATCCTTGTGCATATCTAATGTCTGTCTCTCTTTACCTCTGGCTTCCTTAAAGGTTTTCTTTTTGCCTTTGATTTTAAGCAATTTAAATATGATATGCCTAGATATGGCTTTATGTTTTTTCATATTTCTCGTTTAATATTCTCCACAGTCCTTTTATCTGTAGTTTATGTCTATAATTTCTCAGCCATTATTTTTTCAAATAATTTTACCTATTTTGCTTTTTTTTGTTTGTCTAGGATTCCAATCCCAGGTTTGTTACACTGAATGGCTCACAGTTCTTGAATGTTGTGTGCTGTTTTTCTTTTTTTAATAGTTATTTTTGCCTGCATATATGTCTGCACCACATGTGTGCAGTGCCTGTGAAGGCCAGAAGAAGGTGTCAGGTCCCCTGGAACTGGAATTACAGATGGTTGTGAGCCAGCATGTGGGTTCTCAGAATCCAACCCAGGTCCTCTGCAAGAGCAGCAAATGCTTTGAACCACTGAGCCATAACTCTAACCCCTACATGCTAGTTCATTTTTTTCCCTCTTTTGTCCACTTCTGTTTTAATTTTTAGTGGCCTTTGAACCACTGAGCCATCACTCCAGCCAGCCCCTGTGTGCTGGTTCCTTTTTTCTCCTTTTTCCCCTTTTGTTTTAATTTTTAGTGGCCCGATCAATAAACATGACCTTCAAACTCATTGATACTTTTTTTGGCTGCATCAAGTCTACTGTTGAGCCCACTGGGTTGCTGTTTTTGTTTTTGTTTTTTTTTTAACTTTTTTCTTTTTAGTATTTCTATTTGCTTTTTTCACCTAGGTTCTATTTCTTTGCTGAAATTATCCGTCTGGACTTGCATATTATCTACTTTATCCATTAGAGGTTTTTTTTTCTTAACATGAATAATAATTTGATTTTTTTTTAAAGATTTATTTATTTATTATGTATACAGTGTTCTGTCTGCAAGTATGCTTGCAGGCCAGAAGAGGGCACCAGATCTCATTACAGATGGTTGTGAGCCACCATGTGGTTGCTGGGAATTGAACTCAGGACCTTTGGAAGAACAAGCAGTGCTGTTAACCTCTGAGCCATCTCTCCAGCCCATAATTTGATTTTTGATAGTCTCAACATCTGTACTACTGTGTTTGGACCCAGTAACTGCTTTGTAACTTGGGGTATTTTCTTACCTTTTGATACACTTCATGAACATCCTGAAAGCTGCACATGGGCAAGAGATTCTGATAAATTTTTAGTCGTTAGAAAGCTCTGGTTTCTTTTCCTAGGCCTTTAGTGAGGAGTTGGCCTGGTCAATGTTTTTGTTGGCCTGAGCATGTGAAGGTGGGAGGCAGGGTAAGGGCACCAGAGATTTCCTATTCTTCTAGTGATACCATTTTTTGGTGTTTATTTTATATGGATGAGTGCTTTGCCTGCAAGTATGTATGTGTACTATTTTGTGTGCCAGGTGCTCATAGAGGTTGAATTCCCTCAAACTGGAGTTGCACATGGTTGTGTGCCACCATTGTGGATCCTGGAAAACTGAACTTGGGTCCTTTGTAAGAGCAGCAAGTGCTCTTTACTGCTGAGTCATCTTTCTAGCTCCCATGATAACTTCATTTTTACTATTCTTGGTTTTGGGTTGTCCGTTGTGATGCTTTTTAAATGTAGGTTTTTTTTTTTTTTTATATAGCTTTTCCAATTGTATTGCACTGTTACCAGGTAGGTAGTATGTCAGGTGTGGTTGGTTGAGGAGGAGGTGTTCTGATTATCTGATTGGTCAGGTACTAGAACCTGGGTCTTGAGTGTGTCCTAGCAAGGTTTCCTGTTCATTCTTCTTGTGTAGGGCTTCTTTCTCTTCCCTCCTACCCCTTACCACACCCCATTTGGTATACTAATGTCCTCCTCCCTGAGGATTTATCCCTTTATTCTGTACTAAAGATGAGAGAAGGTGACCTTGGTGAGTTTCACAGTGGACTGTTGTAGTCAGCCAGCCAGCCAAGTAGCACTATGGGAGCTTTCTCTTAGATTTTTCTTGGTCTTCACCATGAGAGCCTGGTGGGATTCTTGTAGGAAAAGCTTTTTTAAAGGGTAGAAACTAATCTATGGAACACAGAAACTTCACACTATGGCTAATCATAGAATTTCTGGTTCAAAATTTCTACAGGCTTATGTGCCCAAACCAGTGTCTCTCTGCAGGTCCCTGGTCGTTTTGCATATGAGGGTAGTAGTTTGTCCTGCAACTTCACTTCCCTGCCAGATCGCCCTTCAGTTTGGCAAGCTTTTTTGTCTTAAAAGTAGGATGATGGCCTCTGAAAGCTTTACATATCTGAGCTGAAATGTGATCCCTGAAGTAAGTTGCCTTATACAAGACATCACATATCTAGAAAGCCAATATATATCTCTTTCTTTATATCTCTTTTACCTAATCCATTGAATTTTATGACTAGGGAGCATGGAG